TTTATTTTACATTTATGTGGTGCTAGAGGATTGAACCCAGTGCCTCGTGCATGCCAGGCAAGCACTCTACCACTGAGCCACAACCCCAGGCCATGTGCCTCAGTTTTCTCATCTGTAAAATGGGATTGATGAGACCGTCTACCTCCCTAGGGTTGGGAGGATTAATATTTTTAAGGAACTTCGTGCCTGGTATGTTATATCAATAGCAAATACTTGTAGTAATTAATATTACTATTCTAAGCTATCATAGCTGAGGAAACATTTTATAGTATGGGAAAATTACCTAACATACCCAAAGTCATATGACTAGTAAGCAGCAAAGCCAAGATCCAAACCCCGGGAGTCAGGGTCCAGAGTCCATGCTCTTGATTATTATATGATCCTGTTGAATAAATACTTATTTATTGAAATAATAATGAGTGGTGAATACCTGATGGTGGGGGGAAAAAAAACCTCTCAGTTTATCTAAACATGTCTGCTTTGTCCTTGTGCTTGAAAGATAGTTTTTTTAGAGTATATAATTCTAGGTTTAGTTATTTTCTTTTAGCATTTCAAGATGATACTCTGCTCTCTTTTGATTTCTATTGTTCCTATCAGTATAATAGCATAATTATTGATCTTTTGTAGGAAATATGTCATTTTTCTATTGTTTATTTAGGTACTAGAGATTTAAACCAGTGGTGCTTTTTATTTTTTGAGACAGGGTCTCACTAAATTGCTGAGGCTGGCCTCAAATATGTGATCCTTCTGCCTCAGCCTATCAAGCTGCTGGGATTGCAGGCATGCGCCACAAAGCCTGGCTCTCTTTGACTGTTTTTAATATCTTCTCACTCAATGGTTTTGTCATTCTACAGTTTCACCACCTTAAATAATTGTGTATGCTAGACTTAAATCAATCTCTGTATTATTGGCCTCTCTTAACATTGTCTGTCTTTATGGCTCTGGTCTGCATCCTGGATAACTTCTAATATATCTTTCCACCTGCCTCTAATTTGCGTTTAACTCTATCCATTATATTTTTGAAAAATTGGTAGACTTTATATTTCAAGCAATTTTATCTCTGCAGAAAACTGAGCAGAAAATACCCACATGTGCCCTTTCTCTTCTTTATCCCCATCTTTCCTTGTTAACATTTTGTGTTAATATGGTACATTTTTTACAGCTGATAATCCAATATAGATTATTATTAACTAAAATCCCCAGTTTACATTAGGGTCTACTCTTGCTATTTTATGTTCTGTGGATTTTGTTTTGTTGCCGTACTAGGGATTGAACCTAGAGTGCTATACTACTGAGCTACATCTATATCTCTTTTCTATTTTTTGAGACAGGGTCTCTCTAAATTACAGAGGCTGGCCTTGAACTTGCAATACTTTTGTGTCAGCCTCCTGAGTCTCTGGATTAGGATGTGCACCACCATGCCTGGCTGTTTTGTACAAACTTAAACAACAGAACTTTATTTTCTTAAGGGTTCTGAAGAGTACAAGTCCAAGGTCAAGGTGTCAGTAGGGTTGATTTCTTCTTGCAGATGACTGTCTTCTCTGTGTTTTCACATGATCTTCCTCCAGTTTACATCTGTGTCTTAATCTCTTCTTATAAGAATTAGAGCTGGAGCCCATCCTAATGATCTCATTTTAACTAAATCACCTCTTTTAAAACTGTTTCTTCAAAAACAATCGTTCTAAAGTACTGGAGGTTAGAATGTAAACATATGAATTATTTTCGGGGTGCATAATTCAGGCCATAATAACATGTATCTGACATTACAGTATCACATAGAATAGTTTAAAATCATTAAAAAATATCCTATGCTCCACTTATTTTTTTTCCTCTCCCTCATGAGAGAATGAACCCTGACAACCCTGATCTTTTTGTTATCTTCATAGTTTTGACTCTTACAGAATGTTATGTAATTGGAATTATATAGTATGTAGCCTTTGGGTTATTTCTACAGATTCTATTTGGTACCATCACAAATTTGTCTATTTATGTGTATGTATGTGTGTTTGTGCATGCCTGTTTCTGTGATTTCATGTATTTCTCTAACATTTCATATATTCCTATTTTTGTATTTTGTGGCTGATAATCCTGATAGCTGAAGTCTTCGAAGTCTCACTCTTGCTTCTACTCTTACTTGTGTTGACTTGTTTTCTTATATCTTTATTGATCTATGATTGTGAGCCCATAATGGCTATTGTTTTTTTTTAATAAAATGTTGATTGTCCTAGAGGATAAAGTAGGGAATGCTTCCCTCCAGAAAGGTTCGGCATTTGATTCATCTACCAGAGAGTACTAATGATGGGAATCACTCTAGCCATATTTTTTGAGGATTGGGTTAATATGGGAGTCTCAGATTCTCCATTTGCCATGTTATAATGAATATTTACTTTCAGTGCAGCCTTACCATTTACTGGTTGTTCACTGTTTCTCATCTGATTTTTAGCTTAGTTTGTGTTTGTGGTGGGATTTCCATTATTACAGTGAGTCCATTCTGAAAGTCTGTTTATGTATGATTAAACTTTTTTGTAGCAGGATATTCTTTCAGGTTGGTTGGTTAGGCACTATGCTGAAGTAGGATTCAGCATCTTAGTTTAGGTATTGTAGGTAGAATGATAGTGATCACATTAGACACCTTCCAGTTCTCCTGGGCATCCTCCCAATTTCACTCAGTCATTTGCTCTTCAGGATCAAACTTTGGGCCCTAGGCAAGTGATATTTTCTCTTGGCCAGCAGCCCATGCTGTTGGGAATGAAAAGTGATGATGGTAAATTTGGATACTGCCTCCATGTGCTAATCTGGATGAATTTTTATTACCTTGAGGTAGCACAGATGAAAATTAGATTTGAATTTATTTCTGGGAAAGAATGATCTGGAAGACAGATTTAGCAGCTGAAAAGGCAGAAGACTGAAGGTTAAATTTCAGATTGGCCATTTAGTAGCAATGTGATCTAATAACAGCTGATGATAACTTCAGAGCCTTAGAAGTCTCAATTTTAGGGCTGGGATTGTGGCCTGGTGGTAAAGCACTTGCCTAGCATGTGTGAGGCATTGGGTTCGATTCTTAGCACCACATAAATAAATAAATGTATTTTGAATGTATTAAAAAAAAGAAGTCTCAACTTTATGTAAAGAATAGCAAAAACTACTACCTACTGATTGTACAATATGTTCAATACTGTGTTGAGATTTTATATTTCTTATTTAATATTTGGGAGTAATCTGATAAGACAGAACTATTATATGCTTCTTCCCAAACCCCTACCCCAGTGCTGAGGATTAAACCCAGGACCTCACACAGGCTAGGAAAGTGCTCTAACACTGAGCTACGTTTATTCTCAAGCCCACTTATGCCTATTTTAATGATGAGAAAACTGAAATGTAGGGAAGTAAAGTGGGTTATTGTTAAGGCCAAATTTAAATGAGTTAGCACATGTAGTATGCTGGTCACAGATAAACTGATTACTAAATAACAACATTTTATGATTGCTAACATTTTCTGGATATAAAAATTAAGTCTTTTATATGATTTGGCCTAGATAAGATTTGTTTATTCAATAACTATTTTATAGAGCACTTGTATATTCATGTGTATTTTATAGAGCACTTGCTATATTCATGTGTACTGTTAAATATTAGGGAAATGGGAATGAAACAGATGTAGGCACTCAGGGAGCTCCCCTTGGAGTGAGGGAGATGGATACATAAATATTTACAATTCAGTCTGGGAAGTGCTGCAATGGGAGGAGAAGAGGCTGGTTTGGGAGTTAGGGGAGATTTGTAAGAATTGTCCTCTTATTATACCTGAAGACTGGAGGACAGGCTGGGAGAAAAGGCAGAGGTAAAGTGATTATGAAATACTGAAGGGAAGAGAGTGCCTACTGCATTTATTTATTTTTTATTCATTTATTTATGTTTGTTTGTTTGTTTGTTTGGTTCTGTGATGCTGGGGAGTCAACCCAGGGCCTTGAGAATGCTAGGTAATTGCTCTGCCTATGACTCACATCCCCAGCCCACATGCTGCATTTAAAGAAGTAAAAGTATTTCTGTGTATGGGGTTTTAGGAAAAGTATGGAAAATGACTGGAGAGGTGGGCAGATGCTATATTCTCAAATCTTCTGCTTTCAGCCTTGGTCCTTTATCTTTAGAGCCCTGGAAAGCCTATGATGTGATTGAAAAAGATCACTCTTGCTAAATTGTGGGAATACTGACAACAATCACTTAAAATTCATTACCTTCTTTAGTCCTTACCTCCAACATTCTGAAGTATGTATTATTGTCTTGATTTTTCAGATATGGAAATTGAGGCTTGGAAAGCTTACTTCACTCACAAAAATTCACACACTTAATGGGAAGTGGAGTCCCATGTCCTTCTGACTCTAAGTCGTATTGCTATGTCACCTTCAATTAGTTATGATTTGTTATGACCTACTTTATGTTTACTGTATGGAAAATTCTCATTCATTCATTCTTTTTCTAGTTTTGCTTTTTTTTCTTTTTTTGGTCCAGGGGATTGAACTCGGGGACACTTAACCAGTGAGCCACATCCCCAGCCCTATTTTGTATTTTATTTAGAGCCAGGGTCTCACTGAGTTGCTTAGCACCTCACTATTGCTGAGGCTGGCTTTGAACTCACAGTCCTCCTCCTGCCTCAGCCTCCCAAGCTGCTGGGATTGCAGGCGCGCATGCCATGTCCATTCATTCTTACAGTATTACTGGCATACTCTGTGATAGTTTGCAAAGCATTTCATTTCATTATTTAATTTCCTTAAAAGCTATTGATTGGGTGGTGTTATTTCCATCTTATAGATATGAAAACTGAGGCTTGGGATAGGGGACTATCCATGGTCTCTCATTTCTATCAGGGAAGCTGGGTCTTCAACACAGACTATTAATAGAAGAAAGCCTTTTTGTGGGTATCTCATGAACATGCCACACTACTTTTTTGGGTCTGTGTGTCCTTTATTCATTGCGTGAATGTTTATAAGCCCTTTTTGTTCCAGGTTTTGGGGATCATATTCACTGGAGAACACTAGAAGATGGGAAGAGAGAAGCAGCAGCCAGGTACAAAATATGCTTTAGATTATTTATGGTGGTAAGACTCTTTCTAATCTTCAACATAGCATTAATTTCAGATGAAGGGCTATGCCAAGGCAGAGCAAGAACTGCATAATTGCCTCATAATAACAATACTACTAGCTAATCCTTACTAAGTGCTTAGTATATACAGATATTAAATTATATAAATTAATTCACTTGATCCTCACAACAACTTTATAAGGGGGTACTTTTTGTTACCTTCTATTTAGAGATAAGAAAACTGAGGCATAGAGCAATTAAGTAATTTTTTATTTACCAAGATCACACAGCTAGTAAGTAGCAGAGCCTTGATTCTGACCCAGGCACTTCCTTCAGGGCCTGTACTCTCAACCAAAATACCATACTGCCTACCAGACTCAAGTAGTCTCATAGTCCACGTGGGTTTAGTTTATGCGCACTAATAAGTGGGAAAGCCAAGACTTGCATTTTCTCTTCTACAGTATACTAGAGCCATACAAAGATCTATTCCACTCTAATATGTGTTCGTATATTATACACACTCATAATTTCAGATATACAAACTCACATTTCTAGATCTACTAAACTATAGTGTTTCCTGCTCCTAGAACAAATCTACAGATTCCAGGCTCTGAGTGTCAAATCTTCTGCAGCAGAGTTGCCAGATTTAGCAAATAAAAACAAAGGATACACAATTAAGTTTGAATTTTAGACAAACAATAAATAATATTAAATAGGTCCATGCAATTTTGGGTCATACTTATACAACTGTAAAAAGTTTTTTGAGTTGTTTATTTCTGAAATTCAAGTTTAACTGGACATCCTGTATTGTATCTGTCATCTCTGCTCAGGAGAAAAATTTCAAGTTCCTAAAGTCTTTAATGATTTCTCTGGGCAGATGTTCTCTTTTGTTATTTTGTAACCCAACCTATACCCACCCATTATAGCATTTATTACTCTGAATATAGGTGCTTCATTCTTCCTATCCAGACACTTGATCTCCTGCAGGGGCACTCTTTATGTTCATCTCTAAATCCCCAGCCTTGAAGATGTTGTGTAATTAAAATGATTATAGAATAAACATTTACTGAATGCCAGTAGGTGTGAGTGCACACATGAGCAAAACAAGTATTTACCAATTGCCTTATGTATGCTAAATATAAGTGTTAGCAGTTTTGCAGTATTTAATGCTCATTAATAAATAAATGGGGGCTTAGGTTGTGGCTCAGCCATAGAGCGCTTGCCTAGCACGTGCGGGGCCCTGGGTTCTATCCTCAGTACCACATAAAAATAAACAAACAAAATAGGGTATTTGTCCATCTACAACTAATAAATAAATAAACAGGCGGGCTCAGTCTTCGACCCAGGGAGATCACATTCTCCGGAAGTCTTTAACTTTTAGCATGAATAACTGATGTAATTCTAGTCTCTGCATCTCCTTTCTGAGTAAGCTGGACCAGTAGATTTAGAGCCCCTGTTTCTAAAGGAACTGGAAGTCTGTTTCTAAAGGAACTGGAAGTTTTGCCAGTCCATAAAACAGGAAGTGCAAACCCGTGGATACTTCCGGTTAAAACCGGTGACGTAGACAACCCGGAAGTTGGCGCGGCGAGTTTGCAGATGGCCGCTCCCTGGTAGCATGCCGCTTGTGGTGTTTTGCGGGCTGCCGTACAGCGGCAAGAGTCGCCGTGCAGAAGAGCTTCGCTGGGCATTGGCGGCTGAGGGCCACACGGTATACGTGGTGGATGACGCTTCGGTGCTAGGCGCGGAGGACGCGACCGTGTATGGCGATTCTGCCCGTGAGAAGGCTTTGCGTGGGGCCCTGCGAGCCGCCGTGGAACGGCGCCTGAGTCGCCACGATGTGGTCATCCTGGACTCGCTTAACTACATCAAAGGCTTCCGCTACGAGCTCTACTGCTTAGCGCGGGCAGCGCGCACGCCGCTTTGCCTGGTTTATTGCGTGAGGCCAGGAGGTGCGAGCCGAGGACCTCAGGTGACTGGCGCGGAAGAGAACCCGGGCCCGAAAGTTAATGTGAGTTGGCGGCCGCGCGCTGAGGAGGGCGGTAAATCTGAGCCTGCAGACATCAGTACTGTCACCGAACCGGCCTCTATAGTAAATGGGAGAACCGGGGCCCACGGACCTAGGGAACTGGAGCCGGAAGAAGCCGAAGCATCAGATTCTTCAGCTGTAGTGATTGCGGAGCCTGAGAAATCTGTGAAGCATGTGACCAGTGCCTTTTACCCTCCTGAATTAATGCAGGCTCTAACACTGCGCTTTGAGACTCCTGACTCTCGGAACCGTTGGGATCGGCCTTTGTTTACTGTGGTAGGCTTAGAAGAGGCATTACCTTTGGCGGAGATCCGGGCTGCCCTCTTTGAGAACCGGGCTCCCCCACCACATCAGTCTACACAATCCCAGCCCCTTGCCTCCGGCAGCTTTCTACACCAGTTGGATCAGGTCACAAGCCAGGTGTTGGCCAGACTGATGGAAGCGCAGAAGTGCGCTGTGCCTGGGGACTTGCTAACACTTCCAGGCACCACCGAACACCTAAAATTTACTCGGCCCCTGAGCATGGCAGAACTGAGTCGCCTTCGTCGCCAGTTTATTTCCTATACTAAAATGCATCCCAACAATGAGAACCTGCATCAACTGGCCAATATGTTTATTCAGTATCTGGGTCAGAGCTTGCACTAATCAGAGCGGTAGGGGGAATCCGTGGCTTCCACTGTTCTTCTCTAGGAAGAATAGTCTGAAGGTCTGCAAAGCGTGTTATATTAGTGGAGCTGCTGAATTTACTGATTTGTTCCAACTTTCCTGACTGCCCCTGTGCCAGGCCCTGAGTTTACAGCATAAGTTTGAGACTAGTGAGAATCCTGGCAAATTTCTCCAGAGAAGACAGCTCAAGTGGTCAGGGATTGCTTAGATTGGATTGGTATATCACACACCATTGACTCTTCCCATTTGAATAGTGGGTGAAGAGACTGGATGGATTAGAATGTTTTAAAACAGTTGTGAACAGTTCTGGACTCTGTGCTGGCCAGTCTTTCATATCACAAATCTTTTCTGAGTACCTAATTTTTGCTAGTTTCTTTTTCCTGGGACTGAGTTTACTGATAAACCCATTGTTTTTGGTCGTTAAGTATCTTTGATTTTGTGAAAGCGAAAGACATAACCACTAGGTTATTTCCTCCAATAAAATATTTTAAAAGTAGTGAGTCTGCTCGAGTCTCTTTCATTTAATGTAACTAAATGTTTTTCATGTAATCTAGTGTAATATTGTATATAAACACGCATTATTGTTATATCTTTGGCTGAACTCTTATTTCAAAAAAAATATTTATTTTTTAGCCATAGTTTGACAAAATACCTTTATTTTATTTATTTATATGTGCTGAAGATCGAACCCAGGGCCCTGCATGTGCTATGCAAGTGCTCCACCACTGAGCCAGGACCCCAGTCCTGAAATTATATATATATATTTTTAGTTGTTGTTGGACACAATATTTTTATGGTGTAGGGGATCAAACCCAGGGCCCCATCTGTGTTTCGAGAGTGCTCTACCGCTGAGCCACAACCTCAGTCCTGAAATTGTATTTTTATAATGCTCAGTAAAAGATTAATTGTTTGGCCACCCTAAAGTGACTGTATTAGGGCACATTAATGACTGTTGTGCTTTATTCTGTATTTTAAGATATGTATCACATTAGTCTTTCTTTGATTCTTTTGTAGGTTTCTTAGAACAAATTTAAGTACTATAACTGTGATAATAAATTATCACATTTATTTTTTAGTTGTAGATGGACACAATACCTTTATATACCTTTATAGTTGGACACAATACCTTTATTTCATTTATTTATTTTTATGTGGTGCTGAGGCTCGAACCCAGGTCCCCGTGCATGCTAGGTGAGCGCTCTACCACTGAGCCACAATCCCAGCCCCAGTACCTGTGATTTTTCAAAGACTAACCAGTCTGTCTTTGCCCTTGAGAAGTTTGTGAGAAATACAGATAGGTGATAATGGGATGAAAAAGACTGGTGGTCAGATGATGATGACAAATGCTTTAGGATCCCAGAGAAGAGAGAGACTAGGCAGTTTGGGAAAGGCTTTGCAAAGGAGTTTGCCAGAGAGAAAAGGGGGAGCAAGACATTCTAGAATGTTCATGCTCTGAAAGTGAATGGAGCTTTAAAACGTGGGTTAGATGGGCTTCTATTTGATCTCTTGGGAGTCTCAGTTTTCTCATTTATATTATGAGACCATTGAAAGTATTACCCTTGAGTTGTTTTGAGGATTTAAATGAGGTAATGAACGTACAGCACATTGTACAATGTCATCTAGTAAACGTTTAGCATGTTTTGGCTATTATGGTTAGCTACATCCCACTACCCACTTAACTTGCCTTTCTTATATGATTTTTAAGTCTTTACAAGTACTAGAGGCACACGTGTCTATAGGTTTATAATGAGCGTAAGGTGAGGTAATTGAGTAACTCATCACTAAATGAGCTAATTTGTGTATATTTAGATAATATTTATTGGCATAAGTAAATGTTGTAGAAGTGTTTTTTATCAATAATTCCTTAGTGCAATGGAGTTCAATATGGTAAATACAGTTATAGCTATTATACCTTGTATAGTATTATGGTGGTATGGTGATAACAGGCTGTGTGATGAATTAAGCCTGTTATCACCATATAGGGTGCCTATATAGGGCCCTCATATTTAACATTTGAACTGAAAACTTTTAAGAGCTTCATTTAACCAATCTGATTCAGGTAGATTCTGTTGCTTATAATTTAAAAAAAAACACTCTTCATCTCTGATTTAAAAAATATTTAATTTTAAGAAAATTGAAAAAATACAAAAATGTAAGAAAAAATCCACTGTCTCATCTATAGATTATGTTTTTTGTTTGTTTGTTTGTTTGGTTTTTTTTTTTTTTAGAAAGAGAATTTTAATATTTATTTTTTCAGTTTTTGGCGGACACAACATCTTTGTTTGTATGTGGTGCTAAGGATCGAATTCGGGCCGCACGTATGCCACGTGAGCGCGCTACCTCTTGAGCCACATCCCCAGCCCAAGATTATGTTTTGATACATTTCTTTTGGGGCTCTATAGTTGACTAAAACCGTATTGAAATTTTATATCTTGGACTGGGGAATGTGGCTCAAGCGGTAACACGCTCGCCTGGTATGCCCGGGGCACTGGGTTCGTTCCTCAGCACCACATAAAAATAAAAAAATAAAGATGTTGTGTCCACCGAAAATTAAAAAAATAAAATATTAAAAAGAAGAGGGCTCGGGTTGTGGCTCAGTGGCAGAGCGCTTGCCTGGAACATGTGAGGCACTAGGTTCAATCCTCAGCACCACCTAAAAATGAATAAACAAAATAAAGATATTGGGTCCATGCATAACTAAAAAATATTTTTTAAAAAAGAAATTTTATATCAGTTTTTAATGTGCCAACAAAATTTTTCATTTACATTTTTAATGATTATTTTTCATGATAATAATTTAGAATTACTGGAACCTTTAAAATAATGTAATTGGATGTTTTCTTCCATTCCAGTCTTTCTATCTAGCTTTATAGGCCAAATCTGCAGAATTTACAGGAATATCAGAATTTATCAATATTTTGCTATCAAAATCTATTACTATTGAATATTTAGATTATCTTATTATTTTACCAATTACTACAGAAACATCTTTATCTCCATAAATTGGTTATTTTATTAGAATACTTTGAGAAAGTACAATTACTAGATTATAATTTCTTTGTTTTGTTTTTAAGTGGATTGCCTATTATGGTGATTATCCATAAGTCTTGGTGTGGAGCTTGCAAAGGTCAGTAAATGCTCTCAATCTAAAAACGGATCTTATCACTGATTCTACACAGCACTGTGGTTGCTTTAAGGAACACCAAAGAAATATATGATATAGGTTTCCTTCATGAAATTTGTAATTATATATCTGCAGGGGGCTTTAGGAAGCTTGGGGTGATTAAAGTACAGTTATATAAGCCAGGGGTGGTATTGCAGAATCCCAGCTACTCAGGAGGCCAAAGCAGGAGTATTGCGATTTCAAGGCCAATCTCAGCAAATTGGTGAGACACTGTCTCAAAAAATAAAAAGGACTGGGGATGTAGGTCAGTAGTGGAGTACAACCCCAGCACTGCAAAAAAAGAAAAACAGCAACAGTTATGTAGAAAATGGAATTAAGTGCTAAAATGGCATGTGGCAATAAATATTAGAGGAAGCTGTACATGGTTAAGGAAGTTGTCTGGAGAAGATAAGAATCAAACCAAGGTTATATGATTTTGTGGCATGTAATTCTTTCTGCTATACTACCCTGCTCCTTTCCCAATCAGGTTTTATTCTTAATTTGGTATTCTACAGTTAAAATATTAGTTAGGAAAGGAATGTAAAATTAGCATAAATAATTGTATAATGTGTGTACACACACATATTTAGGGGCAAAGTGTTGTTACCTTATTACTCTTTTAATAGTTGTTGAACTGAACCATAAAAGCAAATAGTGATGCTTCCTCCTGCTATTTGTGTATCATTATCCATACTCTATAAGTGAGATAAAAGCTTCAGAGAAATGAAGTAAGTCACTCAAGGCCACAGCAAGGCAAATAAGTGACAGAAGCAGCACCAGCATCTAGGTGCTCCAGTAGTTCTGGTTTTGGAGGGAAGAAAAAGAAGATTTAATTTATATGAATCAGCAAATGCATGAACTACCAAGGAGAATAAGTGATGCTTAGGCTCATTGGGATTTGGGTATGATGTTTCTTGTACTCAAAATCTTTTTTCCCCTTCTAGCTTTAAAGCCCAAATTTGCAGAATCTACAGAAATTTCTGAACTTTCCCATAATTTTATTATGGTAAATCTTGAGGTAAGCCTTAAAGAATTTTTCCTTTTGTGCTATGATTTTAAGACTTTATTGTTTTGGATTTAATAACAGTAAGAGTATAAAGTCATGTTGAATATAGAGTTGATTATCCTATGTTTGTTTTTATCTTGATTTCTCATACTAAGGCTTACATCAGATGTGTTAGCATCTAATTTGGGGAGGAAGTAGAGAGGAGAGCTTGAATAAGATGACTGAATTTTATACTTAGACTAAAAAATGTAATCACATATGAAGATTACAACACCCTGCAAAGTTTACTCATTTGAGCACCTGCTTAGAATTGGACTTTTATGTACAGTCTTCCTATTTCCTCATGAGACGTCTTTTATGTACTTCATATAGACTTCAGGAATCCTGAGTCAGAGAATATCAGATCTTAGATTTGGAAGAAATTTTTAGGCCATTGGTATTATTCCCATTTTACAAAAAGGACATCTTAGACCTGAAGAAGGTATGTGATTTGGTCAAAATCGTAGAATCTAGTAAATTAAAAAAGTAGGTACTGTAACCTAGCTGTGTTTCCTTTTAGATCATACTCTCCAAGTGTGAAATTACTTGGATACTCTGTGATGATACTTCTTTCCAAAAGTTTCTGTAAAGATAATGTTTAACCATAGGATTAAGAATCTTCTGAACACATTAACACTTAAGGTTGAGACAGCAGAGGAGTTGCTTATATAGTTAATGGATAGCCCATATGCTTACGTATCTCTTCAAGGCAGTTACAATGTAGTGTGGGGAGATAAACAAGTAGAATATGTCAGCCTGTGGTAAATGCTACCGCCAAAATAAAGGAGAAGATGGCTTGCAATTCTAGGTAAGTGGAAGAAAAGGCAACATTGAGTAAAAATTGGAAGCAGAAATAGGAGTGAGCTTCTGATGACAAAGGAAGTGTGTTTAGACATAGGGAAAGAGCAAGTCCAAAAGCCTGAATTAGGAGCATATCTGGTTTGCTGGATGACACCAACAAAAAGCAGATTAATGGGACTGAAGAAGTCTTAACAGGGTAGAACATGAAGTTTGAGAAGTGTCCCAAGGGCAGATCATGTAGGGCCTTGCAGTCCTGAACAAGAGAAGAATCTGAAGGTCCTTGAGGAGAGGGAGGACATGATCTGATGTAAGGTTTACATTTACTCTTAATAGGATGAAGAAGAACCCAAGGATGAAGATTTCAGCCCTGATGGGGGTTATATTCCACGAATTCTTTTCTTGGGTAAGGCAAAAAATTTTAATTGGGGGATTCATGATGTAGATAGAGAAATGATGCAAGAGACCGAAGTATATATATAGTTGTGAAACTATACTGGGATGTCCAAGAACAAATAAAAACCAGTTTTAAGAGAGGGAGTTCCAGGGCTGGGGCTGGGGCTCAGTGGTAGAGTGCCCGCCTCTCACATGTGAGGCACTGGGTTCGATCCTCAGCACTGCATAAAAATAAAGATAATGTGTCCAATTACAACTAAAAAAAAAAAAGAGTGGGGGGGAGTTCTGGCCAGGCGCAGTGGCACATACCTATGATCCCAGAGGCTTGGGAAGCTGAGGCAGGAGGATCGTGAGTTCAAAGCCAGCCTCAGCAAAAGTGAAGCCTTAAGCAACTCAGTGAGACCCTGTCTCTTAATAAAATACAAAATAGGGCTGGGGATGTGGCTCAGTGTTTGAGTGTCCCTGAGTTCAATCCCTGGTACAAAAAAAAAGAGAGAGAGAGTTCTGAAAACCAAACCTGCAGGTTTGTGGGGAAACTTTTTCCAATAACTGCTTTTATGAGCAATGAGAGGAGTTTGATCTTCCATTTATTCATCAACAGTCATTTTGAGCATTAGCCATGTCAGACACCGTGTGTGACACTGCAGGGCCAAGGATAAGCCACAATTCCCATTCCTGACCCTGTGGTGCATCTGAGGCAACAGAATAATACAACCAAGCAAATGTCTTTCCACAAACAGTTTTATAAGAGATAGTTAGTGACCACCTAATCTTGGCTTTATATTTGGCTGGGTTCTATGGGGGATACAAACAAAAATGTTGGCCTCATCATTACCAAGCAGAAAAAAAATCGTGCTAGAAAGATGAAACAGCATGTGCCAAGGCATGGGACAAGGTGGTGGGCATTGTTCAGGGAATTGCTAGGAATTCATTGTGGTTACAGCATGAAATGTTAGGGATAGGGCGGTGAGATAATGGGCAAACATGGGGAGGTTTTATTTCCTGGAGGGCCTAGTGTATTATATGTTAAAATTATTGCAATCCCTGTGCCCTTTTTTCTACAATAGATCCTAGTGGCAAGGTGCATCCTGAAATCATCAATGAGAATGGAAACCCCAGCTACAAGTATTTCTACATCAATGCTGAGCAAGGTACTGTTCTGCCTGAGAAATTGGGGAGGATTGCTCTAGATTTAACTAGGATGAGCCATAATGGGCAAGGTCTGTGATAGAAACTTAATCTAACCTGTTAGCCAAGCAACTCCTGCATGCCTAGCTTTTGGCCAGATCCTTTATAGGATACAGGAGAAAGATAATATGGTCCCTTCCCTAGAGACAACAGGAGGACATTTCAAACTATGGAAATGATGTATGAGGGGGATATCGCCCAACACAGAGGGTCTGTAAGGTTTGCTAGAGGAAATTGTGAGTGGATTGAGTCCTGAAGAATAAGACACAGCAAAAGAATGGGAAAAGCATGTTCCAGACAGAGTGGCATCAGTATAGATAGGCAAAGAAAGGCTGAAATAATCTCAGTTAGGCTTTTTTGATCTCTAATTCTGGCACATAGTCATCTTAGGGGAAGGATTGGATTTCATGCCATATTTTGTTACTGTTTTCCTCCCTTAGTCTTCCTGATCTATAAAAGAATTGTTTACCAAGTTGCCACGTGTCCCCAATTGTCAAACTGCCAAGTTGAGGATCACTTTGTTTTTGAGTCCATGAAACTCTTATTCTCAGAATAGGAAAGGGGAAGAGATGTGAAAATATTGTCATCACCTTTTCCTGGTTAAGGAGAGTAACATATTCTTTAACCAAATGAAGATCTTAAGAGATTGGTGTTAGAAGGAGATTTTTCCACACAGAGAGTGGCAGCTGAGCTTTAGGTTCTGAACTATTATCCTTTGAGATTTGCCTTCTCTTAGAATTTTATCCAAGTTACCACTCCCCTCTCCACACTGGCATAGTCCAATGTGAACACAAGACTCTTCCCTGAGTTCCTGGTGGCTCAGCTGACATGAAACTGGAACATTCAAACCTGTCTTAACTAGAGACACAGGCAAGACAAAAGGAAAATATCACTATATTAGAAGCTAATGGGTGTGCTTTCCAAGATTTACAGACTCTGGCTCAACCTAGTTTCCAGCCTGTGTTGTAGAGGGGTGTTATTGTAGAACCACCACTCATAGGCCTATATTGAAATCATTGCCCTTCTTGAAGTGCAAATCCATAGGAGACAGGCCCTGAGATATATAAGAAATTTCATCTCCTGTCTGCCTGAGGCCTTCCTTCTAGGTTTCTCTTTTATTTTGCCTGAAAACTTGGCTCCTTTCATGTATAGTTGATAGTAGAAATGACTACATGCTTCAGTGGAGACCATTCCCTCAGAATGCATATATGCATAGATATACTCCATCAGCAGTGTAACCTGTAACTTCTACAGGGAATGAAATAAATGCAACAGTCATCCAAAAAACAATGGGGATGGTAGGAAGGTGTTCTCTTCTCTCCTCCTTATTATCAAGTGAACATAGAGGAAATCAACTCTGATCTTAGAGGGTAAGCCAGGGTAACTGCTAACATTTTTGTAGGACTTTGTAATTTATGAAGCACTTCTATCATCCACTTTTTAAAATATGTGTAGAAATAAGTGGGATTATATCATTTTATAAACAAGGAAACAGATTCAAAGAATGATATGCTAGGACTAAAATTCAAAACTAGATGTTGAGTACAGAAGTTGTGTTCTTAAATATTTCTCCTAAAACATTTAAGAATCTATATTGTTGTCAAATATCAGATATTAAGTTGTGCTTCATATTTTTCCCTCTTTATTTCACAGTTGTTCAGGGGATGAAGGAAGCTCAGGAAAGACTGACAGGTGATGCCTTCAGAGAAAAACATCTTGAAGATGAATTGTAACACAGATATATCCCTTCCTTCATCAAAAATAGTGTTCTGGAAGGAAAGCAGCAGAGGAGGGAATATTGAGGAATTGCCCAGAACAATTAAACTGACCAGGAAACCTTTTTTTCTTCCTACACTGGAAGGAGCTCTCTCACTGTGGAAGAGATCTGTTAAAAGAAGCTGGTCTGATTATTTGTGGATCCAGCAGTGTGGCAGACTTGCTTCTTTTGCTCCCTGTCACCTAAATGTCCATCTGTCTTTGAATGTAAAGAATGAAACCTGACACAGAACTTGAGCCACTTGGAGGTTCATACCTCACTTACACTTCAGTATTTGAGTCTTTTCCCATTTCCTCCTGCTTTACTCACCTTAGTGGTGAAAGAGACTAGTAGCATCTTTTCTACAGTGTTCAAATGGCCGGAATAGCAATTTTTAAGAAAACAGTAAATCCTAAATGTAAATCAGTAATTCTATCCCCTGTCAAGGAGACCAGCCTGGTTTTTTTTTTTTTTGTTTGTTTTTTTTTGTCTTTTTCTCCTGGGAATAATCTTGGGCTTCTTCCTGAATCCCTGCATCCTCCTTCCTCTTTTCCTGCTCAGGCTGTTAGTGTGCATGCGTGTGCAGGAATGACTATGTGCTTGGACCAAGCCCCAGCTGGAAGCATGCTTTCCCTTGTTACTGTTGGAGAAACTCAAACCTTCAAGCCCTAGGTGGAGCCATTTTTGTCAAATCATCAATGATATTTTTGTACTGGGGTTAATCCCCCCCAAAAGATAAAATATTAATTGTTCATTAAACTTTAATAAAACTTTAAAAGGAAATGTGCTGTGATGGCCTTTTCGTTAGTATTGGAGAATGGCGGGAGGGAGGGAAATCACTTCAGGAAGAAAACTAACCTTGGGCTGGGATTGTGGCTCAGCAGTAGAGCGCTAGTGTAGCACGTGTGAGGCCCTGGGTTCGATCCTTAGCACCACATAAAAATAAATAAATAAAAGGTATTGTGTCCAACTACTTCTAAAAAGTAAATGTTAAAAAAAAGAAAACAAAACTAACCTTGAGGGTCTGCTCTAGGAGTCCTAACCAACGACTCCTGCTCTTTCACCATCCATGTCCTGAAGCCAGTGCTCTTCTCTTACACTTGTTTTTTGGTTTTTTGGGTTTTTTTGACATGGGGTCTTGCTACAAAAAAAAAAAGAAAGAAAGGCAAGTAAAAACAAAGGTCCGCAGCTTGGGAGGCTGAGGCAGGAGAGTCACAAGTTCAAAGCCAGCCCTGGCAACTTAACAAGGCCCTAAGCAACTTCGGGAGATCCTGTCTCAGAACAAAGGACTGGGGATATGGCTCAGTTGATAAGCACATTTGGGTTCAATCTGGTACCCAAAAAAAGTATATTTATGGGGCTGGGGTTGTGGCTTAGAGGAAGAGCACTCACCTAGCATGTGCAAGGCCCTGGGTTCGATTCTCAGCACCACATAAAAATAAATAAAAGTATTGTGTCCAACTACAACTAAAAATAAATATTTTTTTAAAAAAAAATATATGAAGTTATAAAAGAGGCAGAACTTATCAATAGTGTGAGAGTGCACATCTGGCATTGGGGGAATGGGCCTGAAAATGGATTGACTGTAAAGGCACAGGAGGAAGTTTCTAAGGTGATGACATGGCTACACAGGTGTACACACTGTGCAAATTCATTGAACTGTAAACGTGAGCATTTTATCATGTAATTTATACATTTGACTTTAAAATACTCATTCAAGTCTAGGGATGTAATTCAGTGGTAGAGCAATTGCCTAGCCATGCAAGGCCTTGGTTCAATCCCCAGTACTGCAAAGTAAATAATTTTTTTTTTTAACCTTGCTTATTCCAACTTTCTAAAATCAAGTTGTTCTTAGAGACAGTCTGATTTAAATTGATTAAACAGTGAAAAGTGGTTGGCTACTTAGGTAATATGTAAGACTGCCTGATAAATTGAAAGAAAGCCAAATGTTTGATTAAAATTTGCTTAAAGCACAAAATGTAAATACATTTTATCAAAGCATATTATGTCTACAAAGATATTCTTGGATCTTTCTGAGGAATTTATTTTATACAAGGTAATTCTAAGGCAAGTGAAAAAGTCTGAGATGTAGTTTTAAGTATTTAGTAAGTATTTGTGATATGCTTAGAATGCCTCTATTGAACAAGTAACAAATTTTCTTGCAAATTGGATGCTTTATATTTCTTTGTTTACAATGTTGTTGAAAGAGGACCTAATTTAATTATCAAGGGGTATGTTTTTTAATATTAGACCACTGATTTGGGGGCATAAAAGAGTTCAAAGAATTTAATGTCATTGCAATAATGAAACTTTTCCCATCTCCATGAATGTACTTATGTGAACATTATTTCTCAGAACTTGTTTTTCTAAAAGTAATAATAAGGGGCTGGGGTTGTGGCTCAGTGATAGAGCTTTATTATATAATTTAAAATAAAATTATAAATAAATTTTATTTATTTATAAAAATAAATAAATAAAAATATTGTATCCAACTACAACTAAAAAATAAACATTTAAAAAAATAATAACAAGTACTAAGAAAATTTGTTCAAAACTTTTAACATCATTTTATGTATTGTTGTAACAATTCTGCCTAATGGGTTATCTGACTTTTCAAAATAATATAACTTAATTTGATCAAATATTTACTGTTTAGAGTTTACTCTGTAGAGATAGATGTTAACTTGTAGAAAACTATTATATGGGCTGGGGATGTGGCTCAAGCGGTAGCACGCTCGCCTGGCATGCGTGCGGCCAGGGTTCGATCCTCAGTACCACATATAACAAAGGTGTTGTGTCCACCAAAAACTAAAAAATAAATATTAAAAAAAAGAAAACTATTATATGCAAATGATTTCTGTTTCCCAAAGTGAAGACAACCTCAAAGGTTAAGACTTTATTGCCTTTAAGTCATTAACTAGTTTTTTAGCAGTCTTATGTCTGCATTCCTTTTTGTCATTGACAATATACAGTCAACTGCCATACCTACATGTCCCAGAAAGATGTGCCTACCTTATATGCATATCATAAGCCATTTTATATAAGGAACTTAAAAAATTTGTGGATTTTGACATTCGTACGGAATAGTGTGCTCAATAACCCTTGCTGAGACTGAGGTGACCTAAGAATTTCCCCAGAAAAGGAACTTTTGGATAAATATGTTTGGATAACAATGCACGGCTTGGATTGATTCATAATTCAAATTAATATTTTAGAAATTCAGAAGTCTCACTTGTTCTACTTCTGGATTTTTACTTTCTATCCAACTGAGGATGATGGCAACACATGTAGGGAGCAAATACTGAGAAAATGTCAGTGAAACAGTTGGAGTCAACTTAAAATCCCACTTTGTTTTTGGAATTCCAGGTATGTGAGCTAGTATATTCCCTTACGTTTAAGTCAACTGAAGCTGGGGTCTCCATTACTTACCACAAGAAACATCATAAGGGAAACATCATTTAACAACTTGACCTCTCATTTATTTGACTTCTTAATACCAATGACCTCAGCTGTATCTTAGCCCCCTCAATTGGTTTCACCTTGTCATTCAAACTGTTCTGAAATCTTGAATCTAGAAATCTATACTCTGACCACAGTTACCTATTTGTCCTTTCAGCCAAGCTGATCAACACTTTCTATAACACTCTGACCTCATGTGGATTTTAAAAAACTCCTTCAATTTTTTACTGCTAAATCTATAGACCTGCCTTCTCCTCCTTCCCTTTTGTTCCAGTGGAGGAGATGGCTTTTACTTATCCTTCCATTGTGCTCTGAAGTCATTCCTTCCTTATCCTCAGATACATTTTTTTTTTTCCAATAGAGGCAAAGTTTTATTTTTAAAAAAGCCGCCAGTGGTCCGTGTGCGTCCCGCTAGCGAGCTGGTCCACACACATGTGTGTTCAGATACATTTTTTTTAACTATGAATGTTCCTTTCTCTATCATCAATCTATCTCTGTAAGATTACCCCAATGACAATTTGCAGGCTTCATATGTCCGTCCAGCCTGGGCCATGCTGTCAAATCTTAATCATTTCTTATTCTTTCGTTACCATTATACTTGTTCAACTCTGGCTTCTGTCTTCATAGCCTTAGGAAAATGATTTCTCTCATATTAATAGGAATGTGGGATTGGAAAATGAGTAAGAAAATTTTCGCTGAAAAAATTATTTTAAAATTTTCTTTTTAAATGTATTTATTAGTGTATTATAGTTATATATAATATTGGCATTCATTTTGATGTAATCATACATGTGTGGAATATAATTTGCTCCATTTCAATCCCCTTTCTTTCTTTTTTTTCCCCCCAGTCTTTTTTTTT